GGGGCGGGCCCCTGCCAGTCCTGCGCCTGCCACTCATTGGGTTTGGATCTGAGTTTGAGTGTCTTTGAAATGTAACACTTAACTGTTTCCAATTTGCCCGACTTTACTGTTTTTAGGAAAATTAAGTCAGATAATATATGTATAAACAGTTTCTGCCATACACTAGGCAAATGGAAACCATTGCTGTTACTTTTCCTTGGAGCAAATTATCCATAAATGTGAAATAAAGAAGTTTTAGCGATATTAATATGACAGCTACTTACTTACTCTAAGGACCTAGCTTAAGAAATAAAGCATTATAACAAACTTTTGTAAGCTCCCTCTGTAATCCTCCACAGTTCTATTCACCTCCCTTTTTCAGAGGTAACCACTGACTTGATTTTGGCTTTTATCATTCCTTTGGAACTAACCTTTTGACTCTTTTATTCTCTTATTTTACTTCAAGTCTGTTGAATTAATGGACCGAACTGAAATGCCATGCCAGGCGTTAGTGAGAATGCTTGCCAAGAAACCTGGATGGAAAGAAACTAATTTTCAGGTACTTTAAAATTAGAGATTTAATATATGTTATTGAAATTATTTTATTATGCCATCCTATGGCATAATACAGAGGTATTATTTTATTAAAGATTTTTAAAGAATAGTGGAGTATGTGCATTTTGATTAAACACATACCTTTATGTATTTAGGGGTGTGTGTATAAGTAAATATACAAATGTATGTAATTAGTATATATGCATTTTTTTTCTTCTCTTCATTTAGGCCTAGAAGGCCTCTAGCCTAAACTTCACATGTTCAAGGGGTAGATACATAGTGAGATAGCTTTCTTATTTTGGGAGATGAAAAATAATTGCAATATTTAAATTGCCAGTAAAAATTTACCACATAGTTTTATAGCCTCATTAACTAGCAATAGAACTGAAATTTAGCAGTATCAAATTATTAGTCTAAAAAGTGAATGTACAGGGGAACCAGCAGTTAGCGTAATGGCTATGTCACTGGACTCCCATGTAGTCAACCGCGGTTCGCATCCTGGACCCGGTGGCTTGAAACTCATGCCGGGCGCGTGTGCGTGTGTGCCCAAGATCCCGAGAGGAGAATGGAGGAAAAGGGATTGCGGCGTGACCATCCCCCCTGGGGGGTGATTTCTCGCTTTCTGTCTCTATGTCTCTGTCTGGCGAGCGCATGCGCCCTATAGCGAAAACCTCTTCCAAAAAAAAAAAAAGTGAATGTACAGGGAGATATGTATGTTGGAAATACATGGGATGAGAAGTGTTTTTGAATTTCAGGTTTTTGGATTTTGGAATGTTCGCATAGTGCATACTGAAATATCTTGGAAATGAAACCCAAATCTAAACACAGAATTCATTTATGTTTCATATACACCTTGTATATTTAGCTTGAAGGTACTTTTATATAGTAGTTTAATGATTTTATGCATAAAAGCCTTTGTGGGTGTGTTTAGATGGAGGAATCTGGACATGTACAGAAAATGTGTATTGCAGCTGAAGGGGATTGGGAAGGTCTCTTTTCCCTTGGTGATGTTGAATGAACCGTGTAGTGTGCCTGCAGTCTGAGTACAACACATCGTGTGAGATCGAGTGTGGAATTTCTCACTTATGTCAATACTCAAGAAGTTTTTGGATTTTGGAGCATTTTTAATTTAAAATTTTCAGATTAGGGTTGCTCAACCTTTATTAGAAAGTGATACAATAATGAAATGAGAAGTTTCCTTTATCTTTTCTAGATGTACTTTATTTACTTATTTATTTTTGAGAGGTTTTTGCTATAGGGCATGTGCCTTCGCCAGAAAGACAGAGACAGATTTCTTGCTTTCTAGCAAAAAATCACCCCCCCAGGGGGATGGCCACACCGCAATCCCTTCTCCTCCATTCTCCTCTTGGGATCTTGGGAACGCACACACCCACGCCCGGCGTGAGTTTAAGCCACCAGGCCCAGGACTCAAACCATGGTCAACTACGTGAGAGTCCTGCAATATAGCCATTACACTAACTGCTGGACCCTAAACATACCAACTTTTATTTTCCCATTCATCAGATTGGCATTTGGGTTTTGTGAATAATGCTGCTATCTATAATCATTTATGTACAATTTTTTTATGTTAACACATATTTTCAGTTTTCTTGGTTATATACCTAGAATTGCCGAATCATTTGATAACTTTTTGTTTTCCAAAATGGCTATGACATTTTATATTTGTACCAGCAATATATGAGAATTTGAATTTCTCAACATCTTCATCAGGATTTGTTATTTTTCATCTTTATTTTAATAATTGAAGGGAGTATGAAGCTTATTGTAGTTTTTATTTGCAGCCATCAGAATCCTTGCTTGGTTAGCTTAGTGGTAATGACTGGACAGAGATTTCTTCATGTATGTGAAGCACTACATCCTCCACCCTCTGCCAGGGGTCTGTGAATGTATGTGTATGTATTACGTATTAGGTGTTAGAAGTCTTCTTTCTCCAGCATTTTACAACTTTGCTGTAGCCTTCTCTTATTTGTATCGGGTCTGT